ACACACACACACACACACACACACACACACACACACACACACACACACACACACACATGTTGTGTTTCCATGTTTTATGGGGACATTCCATAGGCGTAATGGTTTTTATACTGTACAAACTGTATTTTCTATTGCCCTACACCAACCCTACCCCTAAACCTACCCCTTACAGGAAACTTTGTGCATTTTTACTTTCTCAAAAAAACTCATTCTGTATGATTTATAAGCTTGTTTCCTCATGGGGACCTCAAAAATGTCAGAGGTCACAATTTACTAGTATTACTATCCTTGTGGGGACATTTGGTCCCCATAACGTGATAAACACCAGGTACACACACACACACACACACACACACACCAAGGTGTGAATTTTCAAAGACTTCTGCTCCTGACAGGAATTTTCCATTTTCATCAGTGTTCTGTTTGTAAATCATCCCGAATAATGCAGAAAATAAAGAATGATTGGTTTCAAATTGTTCAGAAATGGCCTTATAATTCTATTCAGACTGATGACAACAACAACCTTCCTTGTTGATGCATCCGGATTCATGTTGTTCAGTCATGGTTTCAGCATTTTGGCTTCCTTTGCTTTTGGATAAATAATAACAACAAAATCTGTTATGTGTTATCCGAGACATAGAGTTGTATAATTATAGAAGCTGGTGAAGACCAGATGATTGTTGTTTATGCTGTGTTATGTAAAAAAAAAAAAAGTTAGTAGTAGTATGACTGTTCTTCAACAAACCGTTGAAGATGAGGGTATGAGGGTTAAACATGCTCTGTACGATGTGTGGTTCTGCCTCAGGTAAAACAATGTAATCAAGCCCCAAAAATGCTCTGCCCTGTCAGAAAACACAAACTGGTAGTGAGGCATCTAGTTAAATGTAATTTCAGCCAGCTGCACAAACACTTTGTATAGATTTGTCTACACATAACAAGAGGAAACAACTGTGTTCATTGACTCGCTCACAAGATTCTGAACAAATACAGATACGACATGAAAGAGCCTGTTGCTGTCCTCTGATCACACCAGCTCTGAAACACAATAAAGAGCAGCACCTAGCCTGCAGATGACCATTTAAAGCACTGAATCTAACACATCTGGAGGGTGGAGACAGAGAGAGGGAGGGGAAGCTATTAAAAAACTGATCATACCAGTCATAGTTCAGGAAAAAAGACAGCAGGAAGGGGGCTTTATAGAAAGCAACGCCCTCTAATACACCTCACCCTTAATACATGATAAACTTAATAAAGTGCAAAAGTCTATTCATTAACCTCACGAAACCGAGGCTTCATTCATCCTCATGGGCATTGTTGCACATCATGCATTCACTGGGACACCTTTCCCGTTCTGGGAATTAACCGCAGCATTGGATCAAAGACATCCGACCGGAATAAACGTCACATTTATGTTGATTAGGAGTAATTACGATAATGTGGAATAATTGGAAAAGTGACCACATGATATACCTCTTACAGTATAGTGTATGTGACATCCACATATTTCATGCGTTCATCAGAATAAACGATTTGCAGTGTTCTCAGAATGTATGTGGGCACTTTTTCACACTTCAAATTGTACTAGATTCTAAATAGCAAAGCAAGCATCTATGATGCAGGATTGTCTCAACTAATTTTCATAATAATTTTTTGCTTCAATGACTTTTAAGCAGCTGGTGTTTTGTTGATTTCAATTCACACAGACTACACCGAGGGGAAAAAAATGGGATTTATGGTACTTTGAAACTTTTTTTTTCCCAGAAACTGCTAGTCTTTTTTTTACGTCTATACACAGGTGTAGAGAATCACATTAAGTATAGACATGATCCACTAACATTGCAAGTGTTTGCAATAACAACTGACATTTTTAAGTGTGACTTAAGTGACTTTTGGGGACACACTTAAACTGTACAGTTATTCTAAAACTCACTAAGTAACAAAACAGTATAATGATGTACATTTCACCTTGTATC